CACACACACACACCGTCTCGTTTTTACATCCCTGTGGGGACTACCTGACCCTAAAACTAACCTAAACTCAATCCACATCTTGGCAACCCCGCACCTGTAATTTGCATTCGTACCCATGAGGACCGGGCATTGGTCCCCACGACACACGTTCGGTCCCCACGAGGCTGCTTTTTTCTGGAAAATGGTTTCCACAATGTAGCAAAAATGTGCCCACACACACCCACACACACATGCATGTAGGGTGTAACTATCTTTGTGTGGACTGACTTAATTTCTACAACAGGTACACAAAAATGGTGTTTTCCCCTTGTGTGGACCAGGCAAAATGTCCTCATAAGGGTGGTCTAATGTCAAATACGTCCTCTCACAATATCAATACATGTACACACACATATCAGAACACTGAGCAGGCCCTGTGAGGTGGAGGGCAATAGAGCAGAGCACACGGCTTATACTGTTTATTTTACTTGGCCTGTCTGCATGGCAACCAGATCTYCTCCTCCTCCCCTCCTCCCTTCACATTTCTCCCTTTAGACCTTCCATCTGTTTCTCTCTTTGTTTCATCCTCATCCCCACCCTCCATACTTTTCAAAAATCCCCAAATCTTTGTCTCCTCCTGTGCTGCTCCTTCACAAGACCGTCTGAATGTCATCTGACAACAATTACATCTGGATTCTCAGCGCATTGTGCTGAACAATTACAGCAACYGAGGGGATAGATGGAGAGCAATTGGTTAGGGAGTGCATGGAAAAAGAGACGAGCCGCTAGCCAGGAATGACTGGGCTGGAGGTGATGTGGGGGTATTTTGTTATGGTGGAAGAAGTTTTTGGGGTTTGTTTTTGTGTACTCTGTAGAGAGGAGCTGAGGTTAGCCACAAAGGAGGACAGAACGAACGTTACAAACAGGAAAGTATTTGAAAYAAGCTTTAGTTTTTGTGTGGCTTCACCGTTGGGTCCAACATTCGACYAATATGTAGTGCAGGTTTTCAGAGTTGGGTTCATGCAGATGTCACGTCCTGTTTCCAACCGTTTTAGGCTCAMATCTGCATCTCAGAAAGATATTAGTTGCTTCATGCTCAGAGGGAAACAAAGTCAAGAAATAARGTGGATTTGAAGCCAGAGAAAAGGAAATTCATGTCTTTCTTCAATATTTCAGACTTGTTTTGACGATGTTGCTCTCTGACTCATCAAGAATAATCAGCTCTTTTTCCTACCTACCATCTTGGCTGAAAAATAACTAGCAACAGAGGTTTGGTGCTTGGCTTTAGGGTTGGAAAACAGCACACAAGGCAACTTACATAAATGTTCTTGGACTAAGCAGTTTGTACAGCAGTCAAAGGTTGTTGGTTTGGCTTTTAGTGAAGAGAATTGCTGTTATCCAGAGAGGGAAGCAAAGTAAGTCCCAATTTAGGAGTAATTTGGTTGTTTCTCTTTATTGCAAACCTTTCATGTGGGTGGTTTGTGTTTGTTTCTTTAACAGAATACCTGCTGAACCACTGGAGAAATTTTATTGAGACATTCAGAAAACAATCGTTGGATGTACATCTGCAATGCATWAACTTTTGTATTCCACTAGATGCAAGATTGTCACCACCAGTGGTGGGCAGCACTAATCCAAAAATTAGCTCCGCAATTTCTAAAGCACTTATGAAAAATATTTAAGTCCGCAACTTCAAAAGCACTTATGCCATAGAAAAACTAGTAGAAACTAATTTTAAAGTGCAAATTCAATTTGACACTTACCAGCTGGCAACAATTCATGTACAATATATGCACAACACTGTCAACTAACAGTGTATGAACTCTTTTATAACTTAATTCTAAAACCGCCGATTGCTGGGGATGTGAGTTCCTAAAATAGACCTTTAGCTCCTGGTGTAAAAATTTTAAAACGTTGTTGAGGATTGCTAGTTCGGCTGCTTCTTTGTCTTTTTCTTTTGTTTGTTGTAGATTTTTTATTAAAGCATCAGTGCTGAAGCATCAATAAAGTATTTTTAAAACTGTTTATTAGAAAACTGAAGCGATGCATTCTGGGTACATGACGGATTGGATTTGTGACGGGAAACGAAAGCACGCAGAACAGGAAACTATCTTCCTTCAAAATAAGAGCTTGGATTTTAAAGTTTTCCATGTAGTTGGTCCAGTTGACCACTAGATGTCTGTCTTCACCAGAATAACATCTTTAAATCATTGCTGCGTCTCTAACCCCATTGCTTCAACCAATTGTGTCAAGTATTGAGCTCCAGCGTTTAAACTTCAGGGTTTTTTTTTTTTTAGAAAAAGGAGCTCCAATTGTAAAGTAAAATAAACCAATAAGTAAAATTTTTTGTATGGATTACAAACGTTMACTGTTTTTGCTATTGCCTTCCTGCTACGAAACAGCCACAAAGCATTGTGGGAAATGAGAACCCTGACCGAAAGCAACAGTCAGCAGGATGTATACCTTTACAATAAGCATGTTTATCTGGGAGGGGTGCTGTTGGATAGATCACGTGTGATGTGATACATTGACAGCCATACCTTCCACTGTTCAAGATGATGATGACTGGTAGATAATTAGTTATTAGCAGTACTGCATTTTAATTTTTGAAATCACAAATCCGCTTATGAATTATAGAAATTAGTAAGACCGCTTAAGTGCAAATAAAATATTTAGATCTGCAATTAGTGGATTTGCATTTTAGCGGACTGATGCCCACCACTGGTCGCCACAGATAATCAACCTTATTTAAAAACAAAATGGCTATAACTCAGTAAACTGTAAAAATATTGAGCTAAAACCCCTAACCCTAATACTAACCCTGARCCCTTAGCCTAAACTTAACTCTAAACTCCCTGAGTCTTACCTAAACTCAATTCATATCTCAGTCCTAAACCTAACCCCCAACCCACCAATGGTATTTTCCCCCATGGGGACTAGACTTAGGTCACCATAAGTAGGGGTGTATGTCAAAAATGGCCTCCACACAGCAGGGAATATACCTCCCCCACATACACACACCCAMATCTGGGGGAAACCCTCCCACACAGCATACAGATGTGGGACAGATCTAGTGTCAAGCTGGCACAGCTGCATGACTGCTGGCATGGCAAGACATTTTTCAACCAGATGTGGGCCAAGTCTGGCACCAATGGCATCATTTTTAAGATGACATACCACAACTGGCCCAGWTGGGATTTGGTTTTTGTGGTGCTGGCCGATGTATGGAACACCCTTGGCACACATCTGGGCCACCAAGGGCCTTCATCATTGCGGTATCTGGGCTGACTGTTGGTGCATTGTGTGGGCCAGAATTGGGCCAGACAAATTTTGCTACGTGGGCTGAGAGTCATTACCATCACATACTACAAATCTGTTTTTAAAATGTTGGCAGTAACTGTAAGAGTTAGGGCTTTTTCACAAATCTTGAGCTCAAATTTGGTGTGGTAGCAGTATTTCCTGCAATATACTCCAAATAGATTTCTCAAGATAAGATGCATAACAAGCGATATGCATTCTGTTAAGAATCCCTTGYTTCATTTTACTTCTTAAATTTAAAATATTAAACTCTAAGAAACAAAGTTGAGAAGAAGCAGATGCAATAAATAAATGATTCTTTCCCATCACTGCTGTAGACCAAAATACACATAAAAGGTATATTTAAAAAGTGTTTACCATGGCTTTTTAAAGGACATGTTCAGAAAATGGTGCACTAATGCATAGGCTATGGTCAATAACAGTCTGTTAGAAGACACGCTGTTAACTCTGCAGAGGCAATACGGGGTTCAAACGGCCTCTGACTCACTGACAAAATATACTGAGTCGAGTAAAAACACCACGGGGGGGCGGTGGGGTGGGGGGTCAGGAGATCGCAGAGCGAGCCAGCAGGAACTTCCTCTTTAAATAAAGCCTCTTAAAGCATCCTGAAAGGCTTGAGCTAAATCAGCAATTAATTAAGAACATGACGGCAAAGACTCTCTGATGAATTTAATGTCTTTTTAACATGTTTCTTAACGGTGTTTTTGTACCGACAGACATTCCTACCTCATTGTGTTTTTGCTGATTTTCTGTAGCCATCCTCCTCAGACCGACTGGCAGCTCTGCAGTTTGACTCCACCCTGGTCAAGATCCAGTCTGTAGCCTGTGCCAGCTGGACAGATGATCTAAAGGCACAGGGTGCCAATCACAGGGAGTCATTACGTAAATGCTGGTTTAAATTGGCCAGATTTGAGCTGAACAAACAAACATTCTGTTTGTGGAGAAACTACCAAACTTAGCTGCAAACTGCAACCACCAAGTCTGGAACATTTTCAGCTTTGATTCATTCTGTATCAGTTTGTTTCTAGCACATGATCTCTGGGACTGTTGAAAACTAGTTGGAAACTCAA